GGCCTTGTTGAACCTCCTGAGGTTCACAGGGACTCATTCCTCGAGCTTGTCCAGCTCCCTCTGGATGGCATCCCATCCCTCGGGCGAGTCAACCACACCACTCAGTTTGGTGCCATCTGCAAACTTGCTGAGGGTCCACTCGATCCCACTATGTCATTGATGATGAGATTAAAGAGTACTGGTCCCAGTATGAACCCCTGAGGGACACCGCTCATTACCAATATCCATCTGGACATCGAGCCATTGACCACTACCCTCTGGATGCAACCATCCAACCAATTCCTCATCTACCCAACTGTCCATCCATCAAATCCATATCTCGCCAATTTAGAGAGAAGGATGTTGTGGGAGGCAGTGTCAAAGGCCTTACAGAAGTCCAGATAGATGATGTTGGTATCTCTTCCCTTGTCCACGGATGTGGTCACTCCATCATAGAAGGTCACTAGTTTGGTCAGGCAGGACTTGCCTGTGGTGAAGCCATGCTGGCTGTCTCGAATCACCTCCCTGTCCTCCATGTGCCATAGCATAGCTTCTAGGAGGATCTGTGTCTGATCTAGTGCCTGCCACTAGACAATGCAAACAAGGCAGTAACACCCTTAAAAGACCAACTAGGCAATATTACTTGGCTGCCAAAAGTCTTTGACTCAGCTTACAGAAGCTGGGGTCTTTGGGCATGCACTGAACTTAATGAAAGCTGGGTGTCAGCCCCCTTATATTCTGTGGGCACACTCGTCATTCCAGCCTTTGCAGGACATCTTGCCGGTACAGTTAAAGCTTGCCATGGATTGGCTGCCTTTAGCTGAAGGGAGCCTCTCTGCCCTCCTTGGATTAGGTGCCAACTCTGAATGTGCAGACATCCAGTTATCTTACATTATCCGTGTTATTTGTGCTCTGGTTTCCTCCCACAACAGTTAGAGTCTGTGTATTATCCTTTGGGCTATGCAGCCAGAAAGTGTGACACAATGCATTTCAGTGCTCTGAGCCACCACCAGCTGCGATGGACACCCCAGAGAGGAGACCCCCACATGTGGTGCAGCCTGATGCAACACCTCAGTCCATTGGACACAGGTGATTCCTGGGCTGGATTGGTTTCATCTCAAAGTCTATTTAGCTCTGAGCTTTTCTGCTGACACTGCCAAAAAGAGAAGGTGGCTCTACCTGTAGTCTTGGGTTTAGGAGTGGTCACACACCGAAGGTAAGAATGCCTCCTCCTCCCTGATGGGAGCAGAGCTGAAGCAAGGAACTTTGCTCCATGGGGGAAAGGAATGACTCTCATATTTTGGCCATAAAGAATAGAAACAACAGACTAAACCTTGGAGAGAAAGGCTGGATGACGTGTACAATGACCTGAACTGTTTTCCCCTTGCCCATGGCTGTATCATAAGCTTAGTATCTAGTTTGCTAAAGAAACCTTACAGACCGATTCCTGCCCTGGGATGCAGTGCTCAACCCACACTAAAGGTAAGAGAAGCCAAGTTAACCTCTGTGAGGACAGATTACAGCCTAATAGCTTTTAATGAATAAATTAACATCTGGATGCAACTTTGTTAAGCAGAGTCAAAACTGGCCCCGCTATTCACACTTCAAAGCTATATTTTTAGCACAAAGGGCAGAGCCTGTGCTTATGCAATAAACGGATGTGAATTATTGCCTTTCTGTCACCTGACCAGTATTTAGACTTCTACTTCTGGGCACTCATGTCTGAAAAGTGCTGCCTATGTATCCTGAGGTAAAGGCCATTAAATGGGTCTTAGGGGAGATGAGAAATAAGATGTGTGGGATTTTTTGTCTTTCAATCACCTCATTTAAACGGGAGAGAGATTCTCTCAGTAATCAGAGCATTTACTGGTGCTGATGCTGTGAACACCCTGTAGCTTGCTGAGGAAATGAAATCCCCAGCTGTCACATTTCTTCAAAAAGAACGATAACGAGGGGAAGCTTAATGTGCTTCACTGCAGCTAATTTATACAATGACTACTCCCCGCCGAAAACACACTTACAGCACCATTTCCCATGGATCCCCATACTCGCCCTTAAATCATAGAATCATAGAATAGTTTGGGTTGGAAGGGACCTTTAAAGGTCACCTAGTCCAATCCCCCTACAGTGACCCCATCGAATAACGGGAGAGCCACACACTACATCCACACACCAGCCTACTCACCCCAAAGTCAAAGCAGTTGAATGAAGAGTGGAAGTAATTTCTTGGCCCCAGTCCATACATCTTCAAAGACATCTCAGTAAGGAACAGACCCAGAAAAACAAACTCTGCGAAATCTGGAAACAGGAAGAGAGATTAAATTAGTCCACAAGACCTTGGTAGGCAAATCTCTTCATGTGGGGAACAATGCTAATTTTTCACAACACAGACTGCCTTCTGCCAGAAGAAAATCCCTTTGCAATGGCAAACAAGACCCCAAGGACAGTTTTACATAATTATTTCTATATGCACATGAGCGGAATTCAGCCTTCAATAACTGTGAAGGCAATGTTTCATGTGTACTGTGGGAAGGTTGGTATGAGCATTAAATAATATTCTCCTCGCCTTTGTAAAGGAATTTCAAAAGAAAGCTCTGGATCTAATATTTCTAAAGGTCTAATTTAATTGCACAGATAACGTTTTTCAAATGTATGTTTGCGACTTCTGTACCTACATGAGACAGGCACTTTTGGGAGAGGGGTGTAAGCTTTTGTAATACCCTCTCATGATAAAATACCTTCATACGCAACTGAACTGCTGCCTCTGAGAGCTCCTCTTCAGAGGTGTTGTGTCTACTGTTAGCACATAGCCACGTTTATTTTTATTATGCCTGTATAACCATATAATTATGGAAGAGCAAGATCTGCTTCCTTCTGCTTCACATATCACAGGCAAATAGGCTGTGAAGCTTTTGATGGGAAAATTTATCACCTATGATGAAACAAAGGGCAGAAAGAACATAGCTGGAGACTTCAGTTTCCAGATCAAGTTTTTAGGACTTGAAGCTACAGAAAACACTGCCTTTGGCATTTTAATCATGCAAGTTGAGATCTGGAGGCCAATAAGCAACAAGCAACAGTGGAATGTTAAAACAAAACACATAAAGGGCAAAAAAACTCCACACTACCAAAACAAACCAAATAGTATAAGGCAAACCCCCTCCCTCTAGAGAAAAGATGAGGAAAAGAATCAAACTTCGAAGGGTGGAGATTAATAACATTGCTTAGCGCAGCACAGAAGGCTCTCAGATGCTGTAGCAGCGCAGGTGCTGCCGGAAAGTCGTCTTCTGTAATTTCAGTGTTACAATTCTAGGAACGATAAAGACAAGATGGTGCCAAAGTTTTCTCAAAGGTACACACAGACTGACAAGAGGCAACAGATACACGTTGCAACAAGGAAAATTTCAGCTAGATAATCCTGAATCCCAGGTGCTGTACACCTCCTGTAATATGTGGCTTCAGCTAATAAGCATGGGGAAAGAGAGAGGGAACGAGGGTCCTTTCAAACTGCATGGCTTCCATTGCATGTTCATACTGAGTGAGCACGGTTGGCCCAGGTCCATCTCTCATTGCTGCTTGTCTTTTGAAATTGCTTGAAAAATACAGCTTCAATTATCAAAAAATAAATTAAAAAAAGGGGTTTAAATTTTAAATGAGAGTCGTGAAATATCATGGGCATAAAGTTAACTGGCATCCAGGAAGCACTAACTAGATGAGAAAGGTGGTATTAACGTTTCAGCGAGGAGCCTACAAGGACATCTGCCAACATTTGCAATAGGGGAAGAAATACCAAGAGGTCATTAATTATACCATGTAACCTACTCTCCTTGAAAATAGGAGCAACATCATTAAAGGAGACTATCAAGGGCAAAGTGTTCACATTTGAGGATCAAGATGACAAAGTATGAGGGTCTTTTCTTTCCTTTCTGACATCAGACACAACAGCTCAGGGAGCAAACAGTTGTTCCCAACACAAGGTAATCATCCACAGTTACACTGGCAATCCATCTGACTATAGGAGTGCAGAGGGTGTGAGAAAGGGATGAGGTCAGCCCATGTTAGGCATAAAATCAGACGGCTGACAAGTCCAATAATATAAAAATACAGAATTTTTAAAAAACACGAGCTCAGCAGTATTGAATTTCCTTGCGCATAACTAAAAAGATGACAATTGTGAAGTAGTAAGAATGTTAAAATTCTTAATTATTAATAGCTGGCCCCGTAAATCAGAAGCTTAAACTAGCTTCCAGGCCAGACCCTGAACTTCCATTCTGCACCCTATGCACTTTGGAAATGTTAGGAAACAGAAGGCAAAACTCCCCCAGTAAAGCAGATGCATCTTCTCTAGGGTTGGAAGAATTTGTGCTGCTGCTGTCACCTATTTCAGTCATTAGCTCAGAGGGAAAGCTTGTGCCACAAAAGTCCCTCCCTTGCTGGGACGTTATCACTCCCATCTTGGTTTCACACTCCGCAGAGCTCAGCAAGCCCATCGGAGCTCATTGGAATGACTTCAGTGTAAAGTCTCCTTATCACAAGGATTGATAATCAAACCATTCTTTGAAACCGGTGGCCTTTCTTAGTTAGCAGACAAAACTTAAAATCTTAGGGAGGAGCTGTAGATCAGACCTACAGAAAGCATTGCACAACCTCTACCTGCTTCCTATTTCGCTCTGGCAGGGAGATTCTTATCCTCTTATCTATCCACCAAACCCACCTTTAAGAGTTACAATTCAGGTGTGCCCCATACACTTTCACAAAATAACAAAAATACTAGGTAGGGGTTTTCTACTGTAATTTTCACCAGCAGATCTCGGTACACCTTGCCAAGACAATTACCATCATTTCAAAAGAAGAAAAAGGAGGAAAGAAACCAGGATAAACATTCAATCGCCCATCCAGCAGTAGTATGAATAAAAACCAGGTATCAACAACGCAGTGTTCCATCATCGGACTGACATATCCTGCAAACACACATGCAAAACCAGAATATCACAGGAGAAAAAGAGCTAGCAAATGACCTAAGTAAAACAGAATCAAGAAATATTTGATTTAAGGAAAAAAAAGAAACATTAGAAACTCAGGACATCCAAGAAACAACTTCCTTCTGCTGCTCTTGAAAGAACCACCCAACTTGTCCTTTCACAGTTGATGAATCCCATCTAGATCAGAGTTCAAAAC